ACAGAACCTTATGGTTCTGGCTCCATGTCCATTCTGGGGAGCATCAGTCCAGTTCGTATTCCACCGGCAAGTTAAAAGAGAATACAATTGTACGCAACGCGTGCGGCCTTGGGTGCTCGGCATGCCTGTCAGGCTTGTGCAGCCTTAGTGCTCGGCATCCCTGTCAGCCTTGCTAGATGCAACTTTCCCCTCTGTGATTTGTCCACCTGGCCTCATTTGTACTGTGCAAAGCCAAACTCGATCTTGTTCTTCTAGGATGAGAAGAAGCTCGAGGTGGCCTCCGTGATGCTTTTCTGGGGTGGGAGGGGAGTCGGAGTTTTCTTCTCTGACTGCAATGACGGAGTTCATTTTGGACCTTTCAATTGTCACGCTGACCTCCAGGCGGGGTAACCCTGGACACGTCCGCAACGTCATGAGAGGCTGTGATGTAATCGTTGTCTTGTGATCGATGGAGGTGATCGTTGTGTCTAGCTGTCCAGCTTACAGGAATCGGCGACCATTCAGATGATTGAACCACCGGTAGGTGTTTGGGTGGCGGAACTACGAACTAGGTACTTGGCTGTCTCCGAAGTCCCAGTTCCCATCACATGGTTCTTGGCTGCGATTGTTGGCTTGTGATTGATGACTGGAGTGAAACGATGTCATGAGTACCAGCGTCCTGTCCCAGTCCTGGTCCGAAGGTTCCAAGTCCCATGTACCATAAGTACCAGCCCTGCAGTTAGGCAAGTTCAGTTTAGTCTGTCGGCCGAAAGGTCAGCAGTCTGGTGCGGTCCGATCTACCGTCTTCCCACGGACACAACGCAACCTGGTAACAAATGTATACAAGCTATGTTTCCGGTCGGGCGCAGCCAAAATGAGGGTGCGTTGTGTTCAAGGGAAGACAGTAGTCCAGTCCAGTCCAATCCAATCTGTGGATCCAGTCCCAAAAAAGCCGGTGAACATTCCAGATGCATCAAAGGCCGTCCACGGCCAGCAAGTGAACCTACCGGTGTGGCGAGTCGTAGGTTGGGCAACTGAAGCATCCCATACAAAAGCTGAGCAGCAGTGGGTGTCGACATTGTTTCTGCTGGTGTGTTTTGCACAAGCGCCGGTGTGGTCCTGTACAGCAAAACGCCGTGTGAGGCTGGAGTGAGGCAGTGGAGTAGCTGAAGTCGACAGGCACCAGGTGCCATGGCTGTAGTAGCGCAAGAGTGCAAGGTATTCGGAGAGTAAGTGAGGCCTGATGAGAGTGAGAGAGAGAGAGAGAGAGAGAGAGAGAGAGAGAGAGAGAGAGAGA